ACGAATGCATAAAAAAGCTGCAAAATGTATGCCAGGCCTATAAGTGGCGCTGTGGTGCCAAAGCAAAAATAAGCGACGAAATGTTGGGCATGCGCACTAATATTTATACATGGTTGCCCTGCGGGTCCATTTTCGTGGTTCAGTCAAATTCAGGTGCTGAACTATGTCGTCGTTATTGCTCTGTTCTTCCTGGAAATATTCCAGAAGAAGAAGATTCTGTTGTAAGCCCGACAGCAGGGTGAGTAGCATTAGCAGCAACCATTCAACACAGTACGGCGCCATTGTTGTTGTGATACTGTGTTGCGCATGCGTGTTTAGAGGCGACGCTATGACACATGCGTGTAAAAAAAAAATGCGGTTAGAGCTTAAAGATGGAAACGCGAAAACGGCGTTTCAAAATCTTCCCACTCTGAAGGCTGCATAAGAAAAAGATCGTTTACAGACCCCCGAAACGCCGGCTTCGTATGGATGAGAGGCTGGTTTGGTGAAAAATTTGTGCGTTTAGGCCAGGGTTTGGCTTCGTGTGGACGGGGGCCTAACTATGCTGTGTTTACTCGTTAAACAGGAAGACACCAACTGCTCAACTTTCGGTGCTTTCAAAATAAGACTATATCAAATATTATACATAAGAAAGCTTATAGTATATAACTCAGAAACAATACGCAAATATGAGCAATGGCTTCCTAAGGAGCCAGAACATTTTATTTAAACATTTTTTGACACAATTTAAGACCCCCCTTAAATTTTGCTTTTGAGGCTTTCAGGGGGTCTCATGGGTTAATCTCAGTGATAAGATTAACAAATGTGATAAACTCAAAAAAATTATCCAGATGTGTAATACCTTTATTCTTCCAGTACAGAAAGTTTATCTTATTATTATTTTTTAGGATGTCAGGATTATTTCAGATGGATGTACGACTGCACGGAATAAGTGATGACTTTGTCATTTTAAGAAATTCCCACCATGCTGTCAGGGAAGAGCTGATGTTAATATTTTTAAAACATGAATGCCGCTTGATATTAAACTGAAATTATGATATTACTACATATTTCCTGTTCTGTGTCTATCCAGGGCTCATCTAAGGGATTATGTTTTATCTATTTAGAGATGTATTGTAATCTATTTGCTAAGTAGTAGTTTTGGAAGTTAGGTAAATCTAGTCTCCCTCTGTCTTTAGTTTTCTGTAGTATCTCTAAATTGTTACAAGGGGGTTCATCATTCCAAACAAATTTAGAGATGGAAGAGTCAAGAGATTTAAACCAGTCAGATGGTGGTTTAGATTGGGGATAATTGAAAATAAGTAGTTAATTCTAGGTAAGACCATAATTTTAATTATTTTACCTTATGAATAAGTGAAATTGGGAGCGATTTCCATCTTTCAAGGTCCTCTTCTATCTTTTTTAAAAGCGGGATGTGGTTAAGTTTCTAATTTAGATGACACAGTAATTCCCAAATATTGAATATTTCCTGATTGCAGTTGTAAATCTAGGGGGTTCTGTAGGGAGAAGTTACTTGGCAGTACTGTAGATTTAGACCAATTTATAGAGTAATCTGAGACTTTTGAGAAAGATTTTAGTAATCTTCATACTTGAGAGAGGGAAGTGTTTAAGTGCTGGAGATAGAGTAATACATCATCTGTGTAAAGACTAATATTATGCTCAATTTTCCTGCATTTTATACCTTTAACAACATTAGTTTGTCTAAGGGCCGGATCTTTGCGTGTATAAAAACGTGAGCTATTTCACTGCGCACGCTAAAAAATGTACAAACTGATCTATCAACAGCGTGCTAAAAGGATTTGGTCTTTAAAACGTGCTAAATAGCGCCTCTTATCCATTTAGTACTTTTTCTGCAATGAATATGCAATATGGGGCGTTTACACGCAAAAATGTGTCTTGTTGGAGGAGAACATGTAAATATATTAATTTAGCACTCACAAAGTGATTTATTAAACCTGAAAGCAATTTTGCTAACAGTATCTGACTCTATATTTAACTCGTTTCAAAAGAAGGTGCAAATGGTCTGTATGCGTAATTGCGCACACATGGCAGCGGTTATTGTCGCAAGAAGGAGACATCGAAATGAAGCAAAGAGACGCAGAGAACGCATTTTTTCACTCCGTGTGAATATTTTTGGAATGAACGAGGAAACGATCATCAAAACATATGGTTTATATAGCATTGCCATTTTGGAGCTGTTGGGGGAACTTCGAATGGATTTGGAGCCAGCCACAAGGAGGACCCACACAATACCAGATATCACAAAACTCCTTGCAACATTGGATCTCCCTATCTAGTTTTTCAGAAGTGCTGTCTGACGTTCTAAATACCATGTCACCCTGACGCCCTAACGGAGAAACCAGACCTCCCCCCTGCGCCTGTGGAGCAACATGCCAATGCTGCGGGGATGCGTACGGGCTGTAATCTCATCCACAGTCACTTCTTGTGAGCCATTTGGTATGTGCATTTTTCTACAGGCCAATACAAAACACCAGTTTTGTTTTTTTGTTTTTTTTACTGCAGTGAAGTAGAAATTCAGCCACATACCATCTTAGGGAATAAAGGTTGCCAAAGTTTTTTCTTTATATATATATATATTTTTTTTTTTTTTTTGGGGGGGGGGGGGGGGGGGGGTCACTGTAAGATTTAAATTTCTTAATGCACTAGTTTGTACAAACTACTTTGCCGCAAACCACAAAACGCGCAAAACCATCATTTAAATAGGGCGTCTCCAACAGTTTTGCACCTGCCACCAGTTACGCAATCACTGTTGTTAAATCACCCGCAAACCATGGTTCAGCCCCTCGCGCAAAATTCCAGTTTGCGAGCGCAAATTACTGCACGCAAAATTGGATCTTGATAAATCCGGCCCTAACTGTTGCTGCTAGAGGTTCAATAAAAATGTCAAAAAGTGAGGGGGAGAGCTGGCATCCCTGCCTGGTTCCCCTCTGGAGACAAAAGCTGGAAAATAATTATTGATTTAAATATTTGTCCTGAAGCAGGCTGTTGGGAAGCTGTATAAGATTTTTAGCCAATTTATTTAAAAAAAAAGAAAAAAAAAACAAATTTATGCACAATTGCCAGTGTTTTTTTAAATTTTTTTATTTTTCATGACTTTTAATAATCAGTCCAAGTGACATGTGGTAAATCATTTTATGTATAGAACAGAGACGGAAATGAAAAAAAAATCTGCGCAAATCTGCCTACCCTGAGAGCCTCTCTATATGCAATAGGTGTAACATGGAAAAATATCAGATCGGACATCGAAAAAGTCGTACGCAACGGGTGTGTTCAAGTCCTTGAGGCAGAAACCCTATCTACTTTTAAGGCTTGGCTTTAAACTTTCCTTAGCAATCTCTACAGTTATGCTGCTAATTTTTTAGGCTGCTGGAGGACATAGCCCACAAACCTTTCAGTAAATGTCATAAAGGAAAAAGCTTTTGAAACATATTGAAAGAAACTCACAAAAAATTATTTCGATTCAAACTCTTTATTGTCAAAAAGAAATTACAGTTAGCTCAGACAGGCATGTGGTTATCAATATTTTCTGCATATTTTTTCTCTCTTCTTTGTAAATGTTTCATGCCTTCCAAAACACCTTGGTGGGAAGAATTATCTGCACATATATGTGCTGTCTGACCATTATCTGCTGTCAAAATGGTCCTTATTAGTGTGTAATCATTTTTCACCTCCTTCCACACACTTGAAAAACCTGTTCACTTGTAAAAATATCAGTTGGTTTGTTTCTCTTCAATCTTACCAGAACGAGAGGATCAGCTGACAATGAAATTTAGAAAGTAGATCCACCACAAGCAACACATAAAATCTTTCTTTCAGTTTGTATTTTCTGTAAAGTGAGTTCGTCTTGTTATATCACTAACCGACAGATACTTTTAAAAACATGCCAATCCTGAGCTGGGATGGGCTCCCCTTGAAGAATGCTGGATGACAGATTTAATAAAACAGACAAGACCCGCTCAAATTCCACATGGTAATGAAAGCATTTAAAGTTATTTACAGTTTAACCATTTAAAACAACTCTTTTAACAGATATATTCACTACATAAAAAATATGCTTTAAATCATAAAAGGGTTTTCAAAACAATAAAACAAATATGGGATATATAATGAGAGAATATGATGCAAATATTTTGAAAACAATAAAACATATGACACTCAGTTTCTGCTGGTTTAAATCAGCTTCTTTCACTGTGTCTTTGTTTATACCAGCTTTGTTTCTGCTCTCTATCAGGCAAACTTCAGGAGGGACAAGGTGAGGAAGCTCAGCAGAGGCAGCACAGCTGGAGGGAAAATAGAAAGCAGCAAAATGTGTTAATTAATGACTGAAATAAAATCACGAAAAACCCAAGACAGATTGGAAAACGATCAACTAGCAGTTTGATAATAATCTCTTGTATTAATTAATTTCATAATCTCATGTATATGTTGGTATCTGCATAAAATCCTGACCTTTAGACAGTTTCTAAGTTTCTGGGAAGCAGAGACATCTTTATGTTAATTTAATCTCATTAATCAGATTCTGAGCAGCGTAAATATATATTTAAGTTACAGTTTCGTAGAAAGTTTAACAATTTAAATGGAAATCTGTTCAGTAATTTGTTCACTTTTGAAACATATTAAGATCTAGTTAAATCAGCCTGTAGCCGCAACTTAAATATATGTAGAATGTAGATCCAAATAACTCAGTCTTTATTTACCATTAGAGAAGACAGGACGGTTGGCCCCATTTGGTGCTGCTGTGGAGTTTGTTGGGGAGTTTGTAGGGGAAGTTGTAGAGGAGGTTGTTGGGGAGTTTGTAGGGGAAGTTGTAGAGGAGTTTGTAGAGGAGGTTGTTGGGGAGTTTGATAGGAAGGTAGCTAGATCTATGGTCATTGACTGATTACCAGGTGTAAAGCTAGCAAGCTTACCTGAAAAGGAAATCATGGTTATTAATATATGCCCTAAAAAGTCGATTGTTTGCATTTATGTCCTCCTTTTACCATTTTCTACATTTCCACTCCCAATGACGACAGAATAGGTGATATTCTCTGTAGTCCTGGCTGAGGAAATTTTGCTAGCATTCAGTTTGGCAACTGTAAACGTACACTTAATATTCACACCATCGGTGCTATTTCCAGTAACTGTTGTTTCCTGTAAAAATATAAATCACTCATAAATGCCACAGTACTGCTTAAACAGGCAGTAAATTAATTTGGAGACATAGCTGAGCTGAGAATTTTTAATTTTTAATATTTTAATATTTTATATGTGTTGTTTTAATTTCTCGATTTCCATGGATTGCTCATTGTCAGTTTAAAAACTGGTCAGTATGTGGTGATTCTCCAGATCTTTGGGAATGCGACAGTTAAAGTATGCCAAGTTTCTTACCATCGGTTCTTCTTCCTCTGTTGTGGAAGTTTGATTAGCAATGCTTGATCTGAAGAAAAAAGACCCACTGTCTGAGTTGTTCTTACCACAGGAGAAAAAATTGAGAAGCTGTAGAGAGAAGCAAAGGCTAAAGGTTAAAGTCAAAATCAGAGCCATGAAACATGGCAAATGTCCAAGTCTCTCTCTCTATTAAAGCTTGGTATTGGTAAACAAAGCAATTCAGTGCATCTATATAGAGCCAATTCACAACACACATCATATCAAGGCACTTTAAAGAGACAATTCAACCAGATCATACAGTCAGATTGGTTAAAACTTTTCTGTCTGAGGAAAACCAGCAGTTGGTTCCAGCCATTGACTTACAGGATTCAATCTCTTTGATGAACATCTGTCGATATTCTTGGAATTCACTTGCATTGGGTCATTGACTCTACAACAATCATGCTGCAATCCTCCATTTAGCAAACTTAACAGGATCTATGCTTGGACATTCCCAAAGTGAACTCATGTTTCTTTAAAACATATAGAAATATTGGGGATTTAGTGATTGTTCTATAATCTTTATTTTTTTGGTGTCAGTGTTTCAGTTCTGGTTCTCAATGCACACTGCCTTGCATGTCTTAGATGTTTCCTAGCTTTCAAGAAAAAAAATCAATTGATAGCATATTAACAGGTATTGCTGAATTGCAATTGTCTGAATCAAGTGTTGAAGCAGAGAAACATCTTTCCCCTTAGTTAAACCTCAGCTGGTGTAATTAGGGACATCCCCTTTTCTTCAATGAATAGCTTGGAGAAAGCTGAAGCCTGCAGAGAGGGGTGGAGATTGTAAACTTCGCAGTCAATTCCTACTCTCCTCACAAGTAACTAAATTAATTGTCTCTGTGCCTTCTTTCTTTCCCTGTATGTATGTATGTATGTATGTATGTATGTATGTATGTATGTATGTATGTATGTATGTATGTATGTATGTATGTATGTATGTATGTATGTATGTATGTATGTATGTATGTATGTATGATGTTTTAGGTGCTTAGACCTGACAAATATGCAGGGCACTGTGCCTCGAGGACCAGAATTGAAAACCACTGCATTGGAATATCATTACTTACTTTTCTGTATCAAGGGTTATCACCTCAGATTGAACCTGCCTGAAACCTGAAACTCTGGAGAGTTTCTCTGCCGGTAATCTGCCTGTCAGTTCTCAGAAGTTCTCTGGAGAACAGTTCCTGTCAAAGATCTGCCTGCCCGCTCTCAGAAGATTACCGGAGACTCAATCAATGATCTGCCTGCACTCAGTTAAGCTCTGCCTCCGCCTCTGCCCTCTGCCTGCCATCACCCTCTGGACCCTCTAGGTTCCACCCCTCTGCAGCTCTCCTCCACTCAAGAACAGGTACAGATCTAAAATCACTCTACCTGCAAAATTCCCTGGACCTCTGCTAACTTCTCTGTCCTCCCCTGCAGTGAACCCACTCGTGACCAGTCAAATCACATCCTGGATCTGATTAACCTGTGTGCTCTAACAGAACCCTCTTGTGACCAGTCAAGCCACTCTCTGAACCATAACTACTTTGTACATTTATTGGCAAATACATTTTTGAACTTTTCTTCTGCCTCAGAGTGTTCTGCATGTGGGTTAGGCATATTCGCACGAACATGACAGGGTCACGATCGGTGCTGGTGCCTATCTCCAGCTGTCTATGGGCGAGAGGCGGGGTACACGCTGGATAGGTGGCCAGTCCATTGCAGGGCAAGACAGAGACAAACAGGACAAACAACAATTCACGCACACCTAAGGAGAATTTAGGAAGCCATTTAACATAACAGTCATGTTTTTCGACTGTGGGAGGAAGCCTGAGTACCCGGAGAGAACCCATGCATGCACAGGGAGATCATGCAAACTCCATGCAGAAAGACCCCGGGGCTGGGAATAACTAGTAGCAAAAATAGTTCAGAACTATATAATTCTACATATATAGCTATATCTCCAAATGTTAGTAATTATACACAATGTAGCCTACTAGTAGACATTTTAAATCAATTAAGATTTATGACTTTCTTTAATCAGCTGCATAAATCCAGGCTAAAATAATTACAGCTTAGTTAATATGACACCCAATGAACACAGTTTGTAAGAGTTACTTATCTGGCTGTGGTCGCAGCTATTCAGATTACTTGGAGAGAATTGCACAAATGATTTGAGTAACTTTGCAAATCATAGAAGTCATCCACACCTCCAGATGATATAATTATTTAAGAATTTCCTTGAGACATATCCAGATAATTTGAACATTAAGTAAAAGAAAACTTTCTGGCAAGCGGAGGAAGGTTGTGACAGTATTTTTTTGGATTGTGAGAAGGATCAGAACATAGGACCCAGAATTGGCCAGACAGACAGTGGTATATTCAAAAAAGAGTTTATTAACGTAGCGTGCGCCAGCTCGACTGCAGCAGCGGATTTAAGATCACTGGTATCTTTGCCGGAATAGAGGCTCAGGTCAGTGACTTCAAAACTCAAACGATAATAAGCATGAAAGCCAACACCCTGGAGAGGTTCAGTCTGTGCCCAGAAGAAGGAGTGTTATCCAGAGGAGCGGAACTCCTTTGCTTTTTACTGAGTCGGCACCAGAGATCCAGGAGAGAAGAGAAACAGCGTTCTTCAGCATCCTGAACGCGCACGGGAACCAAAAGATCCAGAAGGGTAATCTAAGCCATGGTCAGAAGACCAAGGTCCAAGGTCAGCACAAGATGGAATTTAGGTAAAAGTACAGGAAGAACAGAACAGGCAAACAGAGCAAACAGGGGCAATAGAAAACTCAGAAGTCCGTAGGCAGAAAACAGATCAAGAACCAGCAGAACTAAACAAAGGGAGCTGTAGAGTTAGTCTCGCTAGGAAGTTTGATAATCTGGCACCAAAGGCCGGGGTCCAGAGGCTTAAATGGCAGCAGGAACAGGTGGATGTGATAAGAGCTAATGAGCAATGGGCAGAGCAGAGCAGAGCAAAAAGGCCTGAAGGTGCCAAGATCATTATATGTAAGAACATAATATGTTTAACTGGTTGATAATAGAAATATACCAACAATGATAATATTTGTATATTCCTATTACATTCACAATTCTAAAGAGAAATTGTTGATGATTTAAAATAAATGTGAAAAAACTTTACATGAACTTTTTGTCTGAACACATGACACATTGAGGCCATAAAGAGAACAATAGGATAAAGATGTTAGAGGAAGGTCTATCACTGTGACTTGGGAAAACATTTGTTCGTTGTTTAAGCAACTGTTCAGATTGGGTGAGCATTAAACCTTAAACAATTTGTTTCTGAAAGTCATATGTTACAGTGACTGTCTTAATAAAATCTGTCATTTAGGATGAAAACTATTAAACTATTTTATGTCCTCAACATATTAAATAATTAAATTAATTATTAATTACAACTTATTTATTTTCATTTCCCTAACAATCTGAAAGACTTAGTGATTTACCTCAGAATTATTTGGGATGAGACCAATAGCGATGTATCCTGAGGAGTTTCCACTGAGTTCAAAGGCCATGTCAACGCCGTTTGGGATGTTTATAGCAGTGGGCTTCACAGATCCAAAAAGACAGGTGCCACTGCCTGCAGGGTCACAGTGGTCAGGTACCGCCAAACAAAATTTGGTCTTGCCACATCCTGTCCTGGTAATGTCAACCTAATTAAGACAAAAACACATAGCCAAAGTCAATAAACAGTCAAATTATTTAACTGTTAAATGTTGAGGTGGAAATGACGACTTAAAGGTTTAGTGGGGGATGTTCTTTTTCCGGGTGGATCATCTAAATAAGTGGTCCTCCTAATTATCAATCCTGCTGGTGAGTCTGACATAGTGGAAAATTTGCTAATCTTCTTTCGGAAAATAAGCTTGTATAAGCAATGCAAACAGCAACTTTTAAACAGAGGGTGCACGAGGAGAAATGGGCTTGTGCATGCTTTTGCACGTGTTTAATAGACATTCCCTCTCGGGAGCAGGTACTGAGGTGAGCATGTGCATTTTTTTTTTTAAACTGGAAAGGGCTGGTCTTCACGAAAATTCGTGAAAATCCTCCACTATACCTTTAACTGACCCAGTATCTTTAATGTGAAAATATAAAAGCATAGATGAAACTTTGAATTAGTCAAACTTATAAGAAACTATTACACAGAAGAGTTAGTTTTATTGCTCAAAATCTGATAGAAAACTGACCATTGCACTTCACTAAGGAGCAATGAACTGCTGATGTGCTTGAAAGTGTGAATAAGAAAAGGATACATTCACTACTTATTGTAGTAAAAAATATATTTTTTATTTTTAGGTTAAAAAAAAAAACTTTATATATATACTGTATATATATATATATACTAGAAATATTCAGTAAGACTTCTTCACCTGATTAAAAATTAAAAATCAGTATTTATTTTTACTACATTATCAGGTAGTACATTTTTATTTATTAGTGTCTTTTTAACTTTTGTGTTATTTAAACTACTAGTGTGAGCGTATCCTTTTCTTTAATGGGAGGGTATGCAAATTCCGTAAAAATTCAAAAAATATCCACTGGACTTGGTTTTCAAGATTTGAAGACGTTTCGCCACCTCTCCAGGAAGCTTTCTCAATTCAAATGTCTGGATCCGCAGTGAGTTTGAGTCTTATATGGACAAGGCCTTGTATCGCTTGGAAACATGCAAATGGTAACCGATATGACTGAGAACCTTCATTAGCATAGAGGGTATGCAAACTTTCATGCACAACTGTATGTCAATGAAAAATTTGTCTATTTTAAAATCACCAAATTCACATGAATTTTTGTTTGTAAAATTGAATAGAGGATATTTTTGAAGGATGAGATTTATAGAATAAAAAATCAAAAAATGTTTTCTCTGAAGTACATGTTGCTCATAAAAAGGTGTTTTAATAAAAAAATTTTCAGAGCCACATCCTGTCCTGGTAATGTCAACCTAATTAAGACAAAAACACAGTCAAAGTCAATTAACGGTCAAAGGATTCTTTAACTTATGTTGAGGTGGAAATTAAACCTTAATACCTCATACATGGCACATTAAATGACACAAAAGATTGTCTTATTTTTTTTTCTTAAAATCTGATAGAAAACTGACCATCGAAGGTCTCCAGTAAGGCCCACAGAATTATGGCTAATGGTTAACTTCTGTCGCTATGTTGGTAATATTAAGCTCTATGTAAACCATCAGTTACTCTTTAACATCATCGAATCAAAAGACTTTATCCTTTCTTTGTTGCTCTTTTTTCCCCGCCATGAATCTGGGTCTAATAAAAGTTTTTAGATGTAAATGTTTGAAAAATCTCTCTGTCAAAATCTTCAGTTTGTAAAACTGAAAGGAAGATATTTTTGAAAGCTCAGATCTTTAGAATAAAAAATCAAATCATTTTTTTATTCTTTGAAGAACAAGTTGCTCATAAAAAGGTGTTTTAAAGCATAAAAGGCTTGATGATGATAAATACTAACCTGTGACAACACTGGTTTGAAACTCAGAGTCAGGAAAACCATCATTGTGGCGATAACCTGGATCCCTGTATGCTCCATTGCTGTCAGGAAAATACATTTTATTTACATAAAGCTTTATTTTCAGATAGAAATAATATAAAAATTTACAAAGTCTTTAAATTGTTTTAAGATATATTACTACAATCTAACATAATTCAGTACTGTGTGTGAGCGCAACAGAAAAAAATTTTGAATTTTATTTTTTTAAGGTTGATTAGATTATTTTTAAAGAAATGTAAACACATTGTTTTAAATTACTGAAAGAAACATCACATTTAACCATCTGCTTATTATTTTTTTAATTTCAAGAATCAAGCAAATCAGACTTTGTTTAAAAATAAAAGAAATAAGGAAATATTAACTTACTTGATGTAGAGTTGAAGGTTAAACGCTGGGTTGAAGCAGGGAGAAGTGTTTTCCGCTTTAGGAGCAGATGTCGGTGCTGATGCTGTGGAGTTGTGTTGATGAGGGGAGGCTGGCTGAGCTTTTTAACATCACCTCAGAAGGGGCGGGGCTTTGTAAGATCACTTGTGCAATTACAAAGATATTATGGGAGAATATGATGCAAATAATGACTTTAGTCTTTCTCTTAATGAAGAACTGTTTCTGTAAAACTGTAACTCTGTAAGTTATTCCGCTAAGGAATTTTGTTAAACATGACTGGAATAAATTCTGCTAATATTTAACCATGTTTCCTTCTTTGTGTACGCTCTCTGAGAAACAAAAACTCCATCGAATTTGGACCGGGTAAAAAAGGTTCTAAAACAACAAAAATGGTGCCGTTTTTTAGAATTAGAGTCGAATCCTGCTAAAGCTGATGAAACTATATAAAGTTATCTGTTTATTTAGAGCTCAAAATGCAGAGGAACGTCTACCTTTACATGAACGAATAAAAAAGAGAAAGAAATGAAGTGATGAAACAAAGAGAAGTAATGAAAATATTAGATCAATTGCAAGAGCTTTATAAGGTATGTTGAATGACCCATGACAGTGATGAGTTCAGTTCTTTTGTCAATATTAAAAGGAAGGCAATGTTACCTTTTAGGCCGAAAAGGGAAGGGAAGTAACTATCTAGTCTAGCTGGGGGCTGTGAATGAGGATGTGATTCTAGGACTAGTTGGTAGCGTTTGCCTCATTAATTCAATTCAATTCAATTCAGTTTATTTATATAGCGCCAAATTCACAACACATGTCATCTCAAGGCACTTTACAGTTCAACCAGATCATACAGTCAAATTGATACAAAGTTTTCTATCTAAGGAAAACCAGTTGATTGCATTGACTCATTGACTCAAATACAATCCCTCACACTAAGCATGCTTGTAGCGACAGTGGAGAGGAAAAACTCCCTTTTAACAGGAAGAAACCTCCAGCAGAACCAGGCTCAGTGTGAGCGGCCATCTGCCAAGGCCGACTGGGGTTCAAGGAGACAGAAGCAGAGATACAAAAAGCAGCTGTAAAAGGCGGCCCTGTCCAGGAAACACACAGCCAGGCAGACGAGCTCCAAGGCAGCTCCCATGCCAGAGGATGAAGAGAGCACATCCACCCAGCCACGGCCAGAGAAACAGGACCACACCTGAAGACAGGCCGATCTCCAACATCTACAAACAAGGGTGTTGATGGAAGCAGCACAGCTGATGTTTCTTTCCTGGATGACGTCACAGCCAAACAGGAACAGACGAGGCAAAGCTACTCTGAGGAAAAGCAGAGAGAGCAGAAGGTTAGAGATTGAACAAACAGATTCTGCAGAATAGGAGAACAGAGAGAGAATTAGCAAGTAATGTATGAAAAACTCCTAATGGTTAAACTTGATCTGTAAAATATACAAAGGGTGTTTTGTGAAGAAGAAATAACATTGTTTGAAAGTATAATTGATTATTATAATCTTTCAAAAACATGTATACAAAGGTGCTAAATCTGTTAAAGTTCCTTTAGCAACATATATTAAAGTATGTAATTTTTTTTCTTCTTTTTTCTAAAACAATAATAACTTGTGGCAATGAAGAAGTAACTGTTTAGAGGAACAAACAGTTAGTGAGGGAGGCAGATGGAGAGTGAAAAAGAGGAAGGAGAAAGAAGCTGGGGGCTGTAGTGTAGGCCGAGAAGCTGCACAGAAGTTTAAGGGTTCCTAATTGCACAAATGTAGATTTACCATCAGTAAATCCCCTGAATAGTGGCGTGATACAAAGAAAGGTTGGGTACTAATGGACACATGGGTTTTACTGCGTGATATAGAATGAGCTGGATGCTGTTTTAGTTTGCTCCATTCTTTGCCTCAGAGATGGAATAACTTAACGTTGGCGGCCGAGAAGAGAAAAACAGCATTCTGAACATTATTTTGGGAGTTTCTACCTGATTGATGGAGTTGGGGACAGAAGTCACAGTGGATGTGGATTTTATTTTTCTATTGTTTTGGATTCCAGTCTAGTTTATCCTTTGCATTTTTGAATAGATTCTTTTTTTTATTTTTTCCTTCTTTTTAAGTTCCGGTTTGGATTACTATTCACCTTTTTGAAAGAATTATTTGATACACATGGATGTACCTGACCGATCTTTATAGGTTGAACCCTTAAGGATTGGATTATTCTTGTCCTGCCTATAGTGATAGGCCCTCATCACTAAGAAAAAGGATTATCTCCCTTTTGCTCAGGACGCAGAGACTTTCATCAGCCATCTGGACTAACAGTTGTTTGCTCCCCTACCTGAATTTGAAGCCTCTCCTTCAGTAGTCAGTTTAGATAGATTAGATAGTTTAGCATTTAATTGAATAATATTTTTTTCATTTAATTTAAATTTCAATTCAATTCAGTTTATTTATATAGCGCCAAATTTACAACACATGTCATCTCAAGGCACTTTACAGTTCAACCAGATCATACAGTCAAATTGATACAAAGTTGCAATGAGTCGGTGCAATCAACTGGTTTTCTAAGGAAAACCAGTTGATTGCACCGACTCATTGACTCAAATGCAATCCCTCACACTAAGCATGCTTGTAGCGACAGTGGAGAGAAAAAACTCCCTTTTAACAGGAAGAAACCTCCAGCAGAATCAGGCTCAGTGTGAGCGGCCATCTGCTGAGGCTGACTGGGGTTCAAGGAGACAGAAGCAGAGACACAAAAAGCAGCTGTAAAAGGCGGCCCTGTCCAGGAAACACACAGCCAGGCAGACGAGCTCTGAGCCAGCTCCCATACCAGAGGATGAAGAGAGCACATCCACACAGTCACGGTCAGAGAAACAGGACCACACTGGAAAACATGCCGATCTCCAGCATCTATAAACAAGGGTGTTGATGGAAGCAGCACAGCTGATGTTTCTTTCCAGGATGGCGTCACAGTTAAATAGGAACAGATGAGGCAAAGCTACTCTGAGGAAAAGCAGAGAGAGCAGAACGTTAGAGATTGAACTAACAGATTCTGCAGAGTGGGAGAACAGAGAGAGAATGAAGCAGAATGATGAAATGGGGGTCCCTATGTCCTCCAAAAGTCTAAGCCTATAGCAGCATAACTATAGAGATAGCTCAGGATAACCTGAGCCACCTTAACTATGAGCTTTATCAAAAAGGAAAGTTTTAAGTCTAGCCTTAAAAGTAGACAGGGTGTCTGCCTCACGGACTAAAACTGGTAGTTGGTTCCACAGGAGAGGAGCCTGATAACTAAAAGATCTGCCTCCCATTCTATTTTTTAGAAATTCTAGGAACCACTGGTAAACCTGCAGATTGAGAGCGAAGTGCTCTGTTAGGGACATAAGGGAACAATCAGATCTCTGATATAAGATGGAGCTTGGCCATTTAAGGCTTTATATGTGAGAAGGAGGATTTTAAATTCTATTCTGGATTTAACAGGAAGCCAATGAAGAGAAGCCATGATAGGAGAGATATGATCTCTCTTTTTAATTTTCATCAGAACTCCGGCTGCAGCGTTTTGGATCAGCTGAAGGTGTTTAACTACAGTTTGTGGACTTCCTGATAGTAAAGAATTACAATAGTCTAGTCTTGAAGTAACAAATGCATGGACTAGTTTCTCAGCATCACCCCTGGACAGGAGATTTCTAATTTTTGCAATGTTCCTCAGATGAAAGAAGGAAATTCTAGAAACCTCTTTGATCTGGGATTTAAATGACAGGTCCTGATCAAAAACAACACCAAGATTTTTTACTTTATTATCTGAAATCAGTTTAATCCCATCCAAATGAAGTGACTGGCTAATCAGCTTCTTTTTCAGAGACTCTGGTCCAAAGACTATAACTTCTGTTTTGTCTGCATTCAGAAGAAGAAAGTTAAGAGTCATCCAGGTTTTTATGTCTTCAAGACATGCCTGTAATCTATGTAATGGGTTAGCTTCATCTGGATTTATTGACAGATGCTGCTGAGTATCATCAGCATAACAGTGAAAATTAATCCCATGCTGTCTAATAACTCTACCGATTGGGAGC